GTCTGTACATGTACAGACTTTTTTTCTTGTTATTATTTCCTATGATTTAAAGTACACAGGAGGATGTGTGTGGATTATATGCAAAAACTACAGCATTTTATATAAGGGACTTAAGTATCCCCGGATTTTGGTGTCTGCGGGGTGTCTTGGAACCAATCTTCACAGGAACCGAAGGTTGACCGTACCTCAGAATATGCAGATGAAAGTGAAAAAAAAACAAGCCTCAAAACACACATTGAAACGCAAGTGAAAATTCACACTAAAATATGACATAAGTGATCACATGACATTGATCACGCTGAACCGTCATGTACCAGGTCTTGAGTGTTTATAGACGCATTATGTCATACAGTTAACAGAAGTTCTTTGTGCAGCTTCACCATAAACAGAACATAGAGAGTTATCAGATGGTTCTTAAAAGAAGTAGAACAATGCGTGTAATAATAGAAAAACAATACAAAATAATGTGCACCATTAATGCAGGAACAATGCATAAAAAATAACTATAGTGTCAGAGTGGAAGATTATGTGTTAATATCTGAGAAACGTTGGCTTTATACCACTCCGAAACCACTAACCTAATTTTATTATTATAATTATAACTGAAGTTATCAAACAGAAACCTCACGCTCAAATAACAGGTCTTTCACTCATAAATTTTTAATCAGGCTTGTATTGGGAATATAATTACGTGGGATCAAGGTCATGTTTTAAATCTTTGGGGTATAATTACCTGAAGAACAGCTTTATTAATATTACACTCTTGGCTTCAAACCAAGATTGAATTGACATAGGACTCCAGCACTATGATGCCACCATGTTGGCTCTACTTACAATAGGCAGAATACATAATAATACTAAATGTGTCAGAAATAGTTACGTAACTTTATTCTATATAATTGTCATTACAGTAAAAACAGACATCTGTGCTGTTTCAGTTGAAGTTATGTCTTTGTTTACATTGTTTCAAAATGCGTCTCGTGGGATCGAATCGTAAGTGGGGTTAGGGTTAGGTTCACAGCTCACACAGCATATTGATGACTGGTTAAAAATATCTACAGCACCAATCAAAAGTTTAGACACACCTACCCATAGAAAGGTTAATTTGTACTATTCTCCAGATTTTAGAATAATAATAAAGACATCAAAACAATAAAAACATGTATGGAATTATGTGCTGACCAAAGAAGTATGAAGCAAAAAAAAATAATTTGTTAGTAGGGTGGCAGCTTTGTGGGTTGGGACTCAGAAGGTTGCCGGTTCAAATCCCGGGGTCAGCAGAATGATGCCCCCACTGGGCTCTTGAGCAAGGCCCTTAACCCCAGTTGCTCCAGGCACTGGCTGATCCTACTCTCTCCTCTACACCAGTTACATGAGATGGCCTCCTGGGATGCTATTCCAGCTGTCCTGAAGGAGGTCCCACATATATGCTGAGCTCTCATTGGCTGCTTTTCCTGCACTGTCTGGTCAGACTCCTGTGTGTAGGTCAGGTGGCCAGGTCATGTGATGCGACACTACAAATCTCTTTGTTGGTAGCTTGGCCTGCCCAAACTTTTGATTAGTATTGTACCTTAATATGATTTTTCTAATTTCCCTCATTTAATTGGATTAGTTCTGTTCTGTCTGACAAACTCCAAATAGCCTTTGAGCTGGTTCTTTTTGAATAACAGCTTGCCAGCTGCCGGCAGGGGCCAGTGTCACGCAGTCCTCTTCATACTGAAAGGATCACCTTCACTCCACTCTCAGCCATTAAATCCTGTATCTTCCAAAGTGAATTATGGCCTTTGCCATTTCCCTCACATGTACTCCTCTTGCTTTGCTGAATTCTGAGGCACAGCCCTCCTTAGATCAATGTGCCTCAAACTGGTTCTCAGTGACCCACCAATGGTCCACAATTTTGCTCCCTCCCACTTCCCCAAAGTAGGAGCAAAAACATGGACCGTCTGGCGGCCCCCGAGGACTGGTTTGGGAAACACCCAGACCGTGTTTGGGTGCTGTGATGCAGTTTCCTTATTACTGAGCCAATAGCAGTTTTCATTTAGATATCTAGACACAATTTTTGTATAATTATTATCCCTTCATGTTCTATGTTCTTGGGGCGCCTCGGGGCAATTTTCACCTTATGTTTTTATCTGTTTATGTTTGTTTCCAGATGTTTTGTTTGGAAAAGAGTGGACTAGTTATTGTTAAAGAATACATCACAGTTCCCAACAAAGTGTTATAAACAAAACAGGAAAAAGTTATGATGGATAATTAAGAACAACACCATACAGGGGCTAAATATTAAATCCAATAGATCTTTCCTCCATTGTTCCATTTGTACCATTTTAGAAACTTATTATTTAAATATTTATTTTAAATATTAATATCCACAACATTAGTGCACTCCAAACTGTCAAAGTATATGCTATACAAAATTATTCTGTCATTAATTTGTAGACCGCTATATAATAAGTTGAATTATGTCATATCCTGACAATTTGTCCTTTCAAGCGTTTACCACACTTAATTAACGCACTTAGATGAAAGTTTTCATTAAAACACTATCATTGATTAAATATGTACTGGGAAATGGACATGTCTGATAAAGTGACAATAATTTTAACATATAATGCTGATCTTGCAGATACTGAAAAATGGATTAACTTGAGATTCCTTGTAGTACTGCTCTCCTTCCTCTCGTATGACAATGATTTTACTCCTAATGAAGAGCAGACTAGTAGCCAACAGGTGGTCTTTCTAAGACTCTACAGAAACAGCACTTAGGACAAAACGCCCATGGTAAATGTGTCAGAATCTAATGTTCTACAGAATCAAAAGCCTGTTTTCTCTCCTTTGTTCCCCAGGAAGATTCAGCCTTGTACCCTATTGTTCAGGCACAAACGAGCAACAGTCTTTTTTGACATGGTGCCATAGATGAATAAAGACTGGGTCTGACTAGTCAGAGTGGCCTTTTTGAGGGCTGAGCCCATTAAGAGTTGGTGAATTATGAATGGATATGAATCTCTTCTTCGTACAACAATGTCCCCGTGCGAGACAAGCAGGAAAAACTCCTTGCTTTCAACAAGCCCAAGTAGTCCATTCACATGTGGAGATGGAGCTGCCAGAACAATGGGTGTACAGCCAATAAGGAAAGAGTCCCTGGTCCATGGGGCTACTTTGGCCTCAAAGAATTGTCAATCCAAAGGTGAAGGACTTGATCATTATAGACCATCGGAAGTGCTATAACCTTTGGCTGTTAGAATTGGCTACTAGGATGAGGTAGGACTCTCTAACAGTGGCAACACACATCTTGGGTGCCCAATAGAATTTTCCTGTTCATGCATTATTATAGACAATGGTATTTCTCACAAAGCTTTTCCATAAAGTCCAATACAACAAATCTGACAAATGACCACCACCAAATGACAAGTTAAGCCCCATATTGGGACAGGCATCAAACATCTGCTGAACCACCTGTGTGGTTGAAACAGGTCAACAGAAATCAAGGCACATTAAGGCACATGTTTATTACGAAAAAGCACAGCGAAAATCAGGCTCAGCTTAGGATGTATATGAAATAGAGCTAGGATACGCATTCAGAGGAGAGGTTTGCTAATATTCCTGTGCACAGTAAAGTAATTTCATAACTCCTTGTTTCCATACACTGTAATACAACAGTAAGCCTACAGTCCGAAAATTAACCTTGGGCACAAAAAGGGAATTCAACAGAATTAAAACTGTTAAACACACCAGCTATTTTCCAGGTGAATTTTCTGGTGAGGCAAAGCCCTCACCTTTTGTAAATGGGTAAAATGAGACTCCTTGATCATTGGAAAAAATGCGTAAAAAAGGTACATTTCATATGCTTTTCAGACTAGCACTCATCGATATCCTAAGATGACACAATATTGTACAACCTTGAGTGTGAAGCTGCTGAAGATCTATAGGTACTATATGACCTGTCCAGACCACCATACAATCATGGAAATATACTGCCTTACCAGTACTGTGATTGTGTAACTCAACTTGTTATATAGCAGTCTACACACTAATGACAGCTAGACAAATTTCACCCAACCAAAAAAGGCTGCAATTTTCCTAAATGACTGGTCTTTTTGGGTTGGTAGAATGATGCCAATTTTGATCCCTAGGACTGAGTAATCAGGTCATTTGTTGTAATGACAGCCAGTATTGATGTTCTGCTCAGTGTCCAGTGCTCCCCAATTACAGATACACAGCTTTGCTTGAATGACAGCTCTGGGGTCAAAGCTAACATTATAGCATCCAACTAAAGCAATGGAAATTTAGACTGAAATTATACAGTAATGAATCTGTAAGCAGTGTCAACAAGAGCTAACCTGAAGTTGAAAATCGATCTGTTTTTTAATCACTTTTCCTATCGAGGTACAATAATGCATCACAATATTAATATGATGGATTTATCGATCCTTTTAAATAGTCAACCTTAGTGTTTAGACTTTGATGCTAAAGAAAATGCACTGGGTTAAATTCTTTGAAAATACATCAATTCATAAAATGCAACAGTACAAACCAGTAAAATGGCATTCAGATATAACTCCCTGTTTAATTATGCAAGAAATCTATGCTTGTAGGGTTGAATGTTATCACTGCAATTATACAGTACAGACTTATGTCGAGTTATGGGTCATAGTTACATCTGATCCCATTTAGGCCTGAGTCTGAGGTCCATAGTAAATAACATACACTGATAGGGAAACGCCGGAAAGCGATGGAGTAGGACGCTAGTGTGTGTGAGGCTAATTAGGGTAACAGGTGCAGGAGAATGGGCACCGCTGACAGTCCACTGGTCATATTTAACTTGTAATATATCACACACACAGTAGAGTGTATGAATGACAGCTAAAATATCAAGATACGCCCAAATTGACTTGTTTCTAGAGGTTCTGGAAACATTCTGGCGAATGTAAGTTGATGCAAAGCTACCAAGTATATCATACATAACAGTAGATCATAACTAAGAATCACACATCTTGTGCTCCTTTAGAAAATTTTAAAAAGCAAAACTACAAAAACGGAGAGATACTCCAAGCAAATCAAGTTCAGAATCACAGGCATTAAGTAAAAACAAACTGCCCGCCCTGAGATCATGACGTCAGCTGAAAATGCAGTTCTGAATGAAGTGAGAGTATAATCGATAAAGCAATAACATCATTCAATGAAATATTGAATAATTTACACCAAAACAAGATAAAGTTCATAACAATGCTCTTTGAAGCTAGACAAATAGTACAGTGCTATACATGTGTGCCTGTGTGTCGGGAGCAGCAAAAACTTCCAGAAGATTCTGTTCTAGTGCAGTTTATTTACAAAACAGTCACAAATTACTTTGAACAAAAGCAAACAAAAAAAAAAAAACGGTAAATGGTAAGCAAAATATGCATTTGTACAATTCAAAGCGAAAAATGCATTTGCCAGGTTTATATTTACAAAGAACAGACACTTTCAGATACGTCAGTCCATTTAATGAAATACCAACATGTACCTGCTAAACCATAATTAGCATGTAGGGAGATAAATAAGCAGATGTAATGTTAGGGTCCGTCTGTAGTTGCATCGTCTGACTCCGTCGGTACTGCACCCCTGTGGACGACGAAAAGGGCGGCAGCCATATCAAAAGGGGAACTCCTCTGCGTCTCTCAGCCGAAACTCTCCAACCTTCTTCAGCAAAGTGGCCTTCAGCGCGTTGATCTTCCCGTCCAACTCCGTCAGGCTGTAAGCCTGAAACGCAGGCAGCAGGATCACGGATACCGTTTGTCATGTGTTGCTGAATAGGGGCGAGGGGGTGATTTCACACCAATACAATGCATCCGTCTTACCTGTGACGATGTTTTTGGTCGCTTGTGCAAGTATGTCTGAGGAAGGAAAGCAGAGTTCAGTGAGGCAAGGGAGTTGATGCAGGTCTGGCGAAAGCAGCGGCTCGAGGACGTCAGGCCAGTGGTCATACATTTCAAGCTTGCCTTTCATTTGTGTTGAATTGCGACTACCTTCTAAACCTCAATCGAGTCCTGGGGGACTGACAGACAGTCCATGTTTTTGCTCGGGAGCTGAGAGGGAGCAAAAATGTGGACTGTGGCGGTCCCAGTGGACCGGGTTGGGAAACACTGTTTTAAACCCATCCTCAGAAGTTTTTTTTTTTTTTAACCGGGGAAATTAATTCACCAGGCACCATAAAGATGAGCTTATTTTAACATCCTCTCAATAGACTCCTTGCAAGCATAAAAAAGCACAGAGAGCGAGAGACCTCTCAGCGATGGCAGAGCCCGGGCGAGGCGGCCGACGGTTCAAGTACACTCGTTTGCCAACTCTGTCCGCTCCAATCTGACATAGATACCAGACTGAAAAAGCCACTCAAATTACAAATTAATGGCCTGAGAGAACTCCGGCTCACATTAAGGGAAAACTTATCGCCTGGCACTAACTGAGCAATGCTCATGCAGCATAGGCGGCGTGATCAACCAGAATCAGCACCATGACCCTACCAGCTCCCACTTAATACCTTCCTGCGTGCCACTTACGGGAAACCAAAATCAACACCGCTAATCAGCACCCCTCCGTCAGCAAGTTCACGCTGGCTGCTTACGAAGTTCTGTGTATCGGTTTGTCCTGCTTTTGGGCTGAATAAAAATGTCCCACTAGTTAGGTGTGAGTGTGTGGGTGTGTGTGCATGTGGGGTAATTTTTATACAATATAAAACATATTTGTTTAGACATTGCCCAGCACTAATTGGTATCGGTATCGGCGAGTACCCGACAGTGAGTACTCAAACGCATTCTGAAAAAATGCGTTTGCTGCGTCCTACGTAATGATGACGGTCTTCATCTTAATGGAATATCAACATGCACATCTTTTTAAGTGATATTCAGTAGTTTACATTGGATGTTCTGTAATTTGCTACATTAGGTTCAAATCCCATGGAAATCACCAACAGATAATGAATTTGCCATAGAACATTTTTTGCAACTAACAGAAAGTGACACGCCCCGGTTTAAGATGGAATATCATCTCACTCCGACGGGATCTAGCAGGATACGAGATCGTGACGACGTTCATGTACAGTCCTCAGACAAAACCTATATCCCAGTGTCCCCAGTTTCCTAGACTCACCATGGACTGGAAGTACTCTGGGGAGAGGCCTTCCAGCTCCAGGATTCTATCCTCCAACATCTTCAGCCTTTGGTAGATATTCAAAGGCACAGGCCCCTCTGATGGAAGGAGAGTGATACGCCGTAAGTACAAAATAAACCCAAGAAAACGCAGAAAAAAAGGTTTTGTGTTTCGCAACATTTAGGAAGATCAGCTAATTAGATTTGGCAAAGATGCTTCATCCCTGAATTTAACTACATTATGGAATCTCATTCTTTACAAGATTACATTTTCACATTCATTTGCAACTTAGACGTTTTGCAATCATTTCCATTACCAACCTTGTGATTAACCAGCAAATGACCACTTAAAAAGAAAAATCAGACTTTCCTAAACACAAAAGCAGCTCAAATTAAACAGAACACAAGCGGAACAGAGACCTTATGAGACTGTTAGGGCATCTGTTCATAAAGGTTACAGTTATAAACCAGCATGCCTGAGTGTGGTGTATTTTTTAGCCAGACATGTTGTGGTATTGCTTTGTTTTTGACCAAGGTTTTTATCATGTGAATAACTGAATATTGTTATCCTATTTATACAGGGGGCGGTGTTTGGCACTGCAGGTTAGCAGACTGTGCTTGCAACCGATTGGTCGCCGGTTCGAATCCCCAGGGTCAGCAGAGTGGCCTCACTGTTGGGTCTCTGAATGGGCCCCTTAACACCAACTGCTCCAGGGACTGACCCCGTTTTTTAAATTGTATGTAATTTAAAATAAAAGATACTGATTAATACCCTGGACAACTTTACCGGGCATCTCCACACTGTTTAGAAGAACGGAGGGTGCGTGAAGGAATAGCACAAAACTCACCCGCAGAGAGCTTGAGGTGTGCTTCAATATTGTGGAGACGTTCCTCTATGGCAGGATTCCCACAATCCCTAGCGGCCGCTCCCTGTTTCTGGTCGGTGGTCTCTCTGCTGCCTGCTGCTCGCGTCTGGGGACCATAAGTGTTCACCACCCGCGTCACTGCCACGGCAACAGACAAACGTTAATCAGCCTTGCAGGTCTTGCACTTGTAGTATACAGTGAAACATCTATTGAAAAGCAACCCTGCGGCATGCCGATTTCAATGCATGAGTGTCGCAAGCCAGCTTTAGTGCAGGAAAGTGCAATGTGCTTTACGCTGGGATTAGGAGGACCTGGCTAGAGACACACAGCTACACCAGTGAACTGTTTCAGGAGTAAAAGTGCACCAGTCAAACTCTAGAACAGTGTCATATGACGTGTAGCGTATAATCAGTTAAGTCAACTTGGCAGTCCGTGTGATGAAAAACAGTAGGGAATTAATGCAGTAGTGACTAAGCTGGGAAAATTACTTTAAAAATACTTATGCAAATGAGACAAACATTAAGGAGAATTAACCATCTGCAGAAGAAGGAAAGCTGCGAATTACGGAAAAAGTGTGGGCATGAGAATGAACACAATTACCTCTGACGTGGCTCCTGAAGCCGGGGAAAGGGGTGAAGATGGCGTCTGTCCTGGCACAGCTGTTTTCTGTATAAAGCAGAATCATTCATATTGTCAGGGCAGAAGGTGCGAATCTCTGCACCCTTGGTCTTCATCGTAAGCCGGAAATTAACAGCACAGGAAAACTGGTGAATAACGTTTAGATTTAAAATGTTCTGTCGCCAATATTCATCACCATCACTAACACAAAAGGGTGGGATGATGGGTCAGAGGGCAGTGGTGATACTTTCCACCGCCAGGGTTGGAGGCTCAAATCCCACCTCTGCCGTGTGTGTATGCGTGTGTGTGTGCGTGCGTGTGTGTGCGTGTGCGTGCTCTGAGCATGCACACCCTCCCTGCGTTGTGTAGGTACTGTATCTGCTAGCTACTCCAATTTGTAGACAGGCGATGAAGCTAAATAGGGTCTTTAAACTGCCCATAGCGTGTGTATGTGCTCTGCAATGGACTGGCTTCCAATCCAGGGTGCATCACCGCCCTGCGCTACCTGGGGAAGACACGGAAGCTCTGGACAGGACAGGTGGTTATATTACAGACTGATAATAGTAAATGTAAGGCTGATTCAAAGGATAAAATGGGTCAATTTGCTTTAAAGCACTTTCCCCCCCACATCCCCTGGCCTTGAACAGGGGGTTTGAAGGCAGTAAGCCTCTGCTTCCTCTCTGAGAAGTTGCCTGAGGAAATCAGAGCATTGGTAATCTACGTGGTCACCCCCCCAACCCCCACCCACCCCCACCGCCAGCCAACACCCTGTTCTCACCCTGATTACAGTTGATCACGTTACAAAACTCCCGCACATTGCTTTCATTGATCTCCAGCTGCTTGCGCTCGATAAATGCCGATATTCTTCTATCAATCTACAGCAGACGTGGGAAAGGGGAGACAAACAAAAAGATCATAACGATGACGGCGGAATATTGGAGCACAGTGAAGGGGGGGTTTTAAAAAAAAAATCTATATCAAATCGAGTTTCCAGTTTAGCAGTAATGAGAAGAAAAGCTGAAACCAAGCGAATGCCGTCTAGGCAGCATATGAGTGTTTCCTTAAAATAACCCAGATTCCACAACTGGCGGATTTTCACTGAAAGGAACACTCAAATATTCTGTTTATCTGATGACAAAAGACAGAGGCCGGGGTCGTCTTCATCCACATGCAATTGTTTTGAATAATAAGAGGCCACTTCATAAACTGCCAAGGGTCTGTGCCTCTTTTAGGACCTCTTGCAGTGCAGTTCATCTCGTCTGTCCAAGTGCAGCACATCGCGTTCAAGGGCCCTTTTCTGCTGGATTAACTTAACCGGCCCAGAACAAATATTACCAAGCTTTTCTTAATATTTATTTGCCTAGCAGTAGACACACAGTATTTTTTGTCACAGGAAGTACAAGAATGCTAGACGAACAGGGGGAGGGGAAAAAAAAAAAACACACATACTTGACAACTGACCCCTGACTGAGGTGCTGATGCGTTCATTAGTGGTTGGAGTTCGTTAAAAATCAGCCCCGGCCCTTGAGGATGAGAGCAGGCTCACCTCTGACTTGCTGACTTTGATCTGCACATTGGGGTCGTCTCTCTTGGGCTCGAGGCTGCCCCCCGCGGGGCTCACATCACCCCCGCCGTCTGCGGCTGATTCCAGCGCGGCAGTCACCTTTACCAGCTGCTTCAGGTTTGCAGACACGGTCTGTGGAGGCGAAGGCAAGAGGTAAAGAGGAACCGAGGCCAGGATACATACATGAGGGACAATCCTCCAGCATCAGCCCTTTATAGTGGACTCATTTATTCACAGTCACTTATGCTCTGTTTATATGCAGCTGGATAATTTCATGAAGTATCTGCTCAAGGTTTCAAACAGGAGCCTCCTGTGATCTGCACTAGAAACCTTCAGATATCTGTCCTCCTTTGCAACACCATCTTAAAGCTTTAAAGCTTCAAAAACGTTCCCCAAAGGTCTAATATATTAATTATTTGAAGGAGACTGAATGCAAAAGTAACATTTTTAAGAGCTTTCCCACTGGTTCAGTGAGCTGAAAAAATGAGACGGTAGAAGCGGAGTGAAGATGATCAGAGGCGTACCTGCAGTTGTGAGATGTGCTGATGGACACAGGTAAGCATAGAACCTGGCTGAAGGGATGAGACATTGATACGGCTTGGATTGACATCCATTTTCAGAACATCGGCCCCTAAATTCAACTGGGGAAAAAAAAAAAATCAATCAGCATTTCAGACAGCCAAAAGCAACAACAGAGCTGTCCTTTAAAATCAAGCACATCTTCTTTCAAACACTGTATCTAATTATACATTTAGGGATATATGGCTATAAAATGTTGCCATTAATTATAAATGTAACACAAGAATTTCCGTAACCTAATCAAAAATCTCAAGGCAAGGTTTAATCACAATAGTCCACAGAAAACCTATTTTCCTTAGCATTGCAGTTGAAAGTACAAAGTACACAGGACATAAAAGTTCAATGCTAAATTCCATAGAAAGATTGAGTGGGTTTTTTTTTTTATTAAAGAAAAAAAAAGATTTCCCACAGAACCTAAAAAAAATGCCTGTATTGGGTGAGATTCTTTGGGAAATCATAATTTATTTATGCAAGATTGATGCTTTTGTCTTAGTTGCACAAACTAAATCATACACATATGTAGGCATCCATGAAGTACAAATTAGCTTTCCAAAGAATTTCTGTTAAAGATAACTCATTTATTTTTGATAATACACAGAAGCAGTACACAAATCAGAACTATTTAATCAACTATACTCTTAGATAATGTTCAGTACTAGAATAATTTTACAATGATCAATAAATAAGTGGAGGGCAATGTGCTTTAATGGCAAAGCTTCTGTGTCTGTGTTTGGAAGGTTGCTAGTTTGAGCCTCAGCAAAACAGTCACGTCTGTGGGGGGCTTGAGCAAGGTCCTTAACCCCCAGCTCCCCAGGTGCTGCAAAGTGACTGACCCAGAGCTGTGACCCCCATGCTTACTCTCACCTGTATTTGTGTGTCTCACAGAGCAAGCTGGGGTCGGCTCAAAGAGAATTTCCCCACGGGGATTAATATAATATATAAAGTATCACTATTCTATAAAACTTGTTGCAATGCATGTCTGACAACACATCCATACAATATTAGGAGAAAGTGACATACGGCTTTTGTTTTTCTAATTTATTTTCATAGCATTTATAAGACGGATGATTTGCATAAATCAAACATTCGTGACTATCACAGATAACCAAGCAAAATAAAATGTCCACACATAACGCCGGCTTTCAGAATCAAAGAAAATTGTCCCCCCCCCTAAACCCTTCAAAAATAAAGGGAATACTGAAAACGGGGCGTTTACACGTTTACTGCCACTAGCATTTCCACCTAATAGTGCTGCGTTTCCCACGCGTGGAGCAGCATCTAATCATCCTGCTGAAAGTTCAGACTTCATTTATTCTGAAACTCCAAAACGCAACACAACGTTTTTTCATAACGTTTTAATTATTTGCAATTTTAAGCCGTTGTGTTCCCTAGCAAGAAAACTATAACAGATGCAGCTATTAAATACACAACATCGCCTCGGTTATGAGTTACTAGCTAACAGACCCACAATTGCTTCACGTCTGCCTACCGCTAAGCAATCAATCGCTCTAGGAAACTGCATGCAAAACAAAGTATCGTACCTCACTAACTAATCTTCAAATTAACTTGGATAGGGCGTTATGTAACTAGCCTCGGTATTTACTCGATAAGTTTATAGAGACATCATACAACTGAGAGTGAGTCCAGGTAGCGATCATTCACAGAGCAAAACCAAAGAAAGCTGTCTCCCCCAAGCACCAACCTCTGTACTAAATGCTGCCAGGGCATTGAGAATGGCACACACAGATTCGCGGAGTGTAGACGTGCCCTCCCCATGAGAAAGTCCTCCTCCGTCCCTGACTTGCACGCTCTGGCCAGACTGTTTCCCATTGATCTCCCCCAACTCCGCCATTTCTTTTCCTGCTCTGCGACTGCGCATGCGTCCTGGTTCTGCGCGTTGGCACGAGCCGCCTGTTTCCTAGAGATCTATTGGTCCTCTTTGGCCAAAAGGCGGGGCTTTAAAAAGCCCGGATTAACTCACGTGCAATCGCCGGCTTTCAGACTCAAATTCAAAGTAAAAGCTTTATTGGCATGGGGAATTGGCCGAACGTCTTAAATAGACTACCAAGAGCAGCAATTAAAATAACAGGAGGTTAATCTAATAGCAGAAGAGAAGGAATGATTGTACATTTTAAAATTAATGTTATATTAACTTTAAAGTAGTGTGACAAACTATAATTTAGATCACAGTGGTCTTCAGTATTTTTTATATTATATTTATATTTTAACATCAGTTTCTCTCACTGATTTGCTTAGGGTCTGTATTTGATCGCAACATTTTTTTCTGACGGATTATTTTTAGCCCGACAACCACTTTGGGTTATGAGTTTATTTAATTACTCCAATACTTAAAATAAAAATATCTCATACTGCTAATTTGAATGATTCTATGTGACCACAGGGACGTCACCCCGCACACAGTATTTACTATTTTGCATACGTATATTATTTATATCATATCTTAATATACTTAACGGTTTCTTTTGTATGAATGTTTAAGTAAACATATTCATAGCTGAGTTTATTGACTAGTTAAAGCTGGCAAAGAGCTTTGGCCAAATGAAGAATAGGATGTTTATTATTAATCTTCATAAGGTTGCATGTATTGTTCCGGAATGTTGTTTGTATTTTTCTTTTAAGCCCAATGACATAGCATACTAATGTATTTATTGACAGACCCAGGTCAATACACTGAAGTTTGTGGACTGATCATGCTAAAAGTCTTGTGTATTTTATAGAACCATGCACTTTTTCTGTCATGTTAAGAAGTGTAGCATGTACCACGAGTCTCCCAGAGGCAGATATAGGAGGATTTGTGTGCTTATTCATTTTCATTATTCCATTTAAAAATTAAAAATAAATTGCAATCACATGTTCACCTGCAGAATTACTCGGCATCATGACGGCTTTCATAGTTTTTCACACAACAATGCAGTAGCCAATGCTATAAAAAAATGAGTAGGTAAAGGAAGCCACTGCGAGACGCTTTGTATATCTCATTTGTGTGAGATTGGTAACAGATTTTATTGTTTGTTATTGCTGTTAAAATGGAAGGAAGTTGGGGAAAAAAGAAAATAAAAGTAAATTGAATGTAACATGAATGCTGTCACGTAAATGTCAATTTAAGCATTTTGCAGAAACGGTTCCTTCTTGCATTTTTTGCACGTTGGCAGGCTGGTTCCCCATTTATAGAAATGTTGTCCATCAAATCAAGGTTGGGCAAGAGGGTGGGAACCGACCTACAATGATGTATTTCTGTAGCAAGTGACTGTGGGAAACTCTCCCTCCTCTATTCAGGCATTTTTCTTCTTTTTTATATAATGAGGAGAGACTGATGAAGGCAATAACAGAAAATAACAATTGCATGAACAAAGCACAAGCTCTCAGCCCTGAACTCTATAATGCTCTCTGGAAGGGTTAATCATTTTAGGAAGAATTTCTTTTTTTTCCTCTGCTCCCAGGGCTGTTTTCTTTTAGGGAAAGGAACTGTAACACTTGACATCTTTGACACACTCTGGTTTGCTGTATATTCCCACGCAGCCAGGAGCTGGAAATTAAGAGCTGCTCATTTAATCCATACTTGGTACATGTTTGTGATAGGGAGTTTGCAAAAAGGAGAAAAATGCATTATATAAAACGTCATATCTTTATTAAATTATTCTCCAAGAACACATTCTGCGGTGTAATTAGTGTGAGAAAAATTATGGAATACAATGATTTTTCTATGACAACTTACAAAACAGACAAAAGAATGAAACAGTGCAGCTTAGACTGACCATTGTCTGTGACACTCTGCTCCAGAGGGGCGTCCCCCACTGGGCTCCGGATGTTTGCGGTCTGGAATAAGATGGGACACTTGCTCCTTACTCATATTTTCCGGATGTAAAGGGCAACCCTTGGCATGGAAGAGTGTGAATGGAGGCAGGAGGGGGGAGGTGGGGGCAGAGGGGGGGGGGTGGGTTGGAGAGGGATTGTGGCTGCCTCTCACCGCTCTCCCATCAGCCACCTGCAGAATAGCAAAAGCTCCCTTATTTACCCCTTCTGTTCTACAGAAGCAGATAATGAAAAAGGAACACGGTGGGAAGAAAAGGGAAAGAGTGAGAGAGAAAGAGTGAGAGACCTCCGGAATTGAAGTCAATCATTTTCCTTGGATGAGATTCCGTTCTTCGTTCTCTCATTCCCATTTTGTCTCCAGCAGGCCTCTGTGACACACATACATGGATAAAACATTTTTGCCTCTTAAAAATGATTTATTGATAAAAAAAAAAAAACTTTAAGACATTTTCAGATCTACTGATATATTGGTGACAGAGAGACATTGCCTTATACTAACTACTTAATCTACAATGATCAAGTTCCATAACTTCTGGCCGAACTGTCCAAGTTGTTTTTAAGTTGATCCTGTTGCTTGAGCAGGAGATGAACTGGTAATGTAAGTAAAACATACAATAAAATGTGTTTATTGAAAGCGCTTAATGAAACGCTGCTTCGGTGTTTAACTGAATTGCTTCACATGACTGGTGCTGGGTGTTTGAATCCTACTTGCTATGTGTGGAGTTTGTGTGTGGGTTCCTTCTGCAGTCCAAATGCATGTAGCTAGGCTGATTGGAGTCCAGGGTGTGTCGCGGCCCTGTACCTGTCGCACTTCAGAACTTCCTGTCATCCCTGGACTAGATAAGTCACTAGAAGCTGGAAGAACGGATGGAAATCAATACAGTCCCAGAATTTCCAAAAAAAAACCCAATATATTAGGAGAAGGACAAAAACAGCATGTCTGGTTATGAAACTAAAATTTGTAAGTAATATATTTTACCAAAAGTTGCTTATAAATTCATTGTTTCAAATAAATTAATATAAAAGTTATTTATTGTTGCTATTTGTGAAGTACTATTTAGAAATAGTACTATTCACGTTACTCATGAACTGTGATTCTGCAACTCCTCAAAAAATATGTAGTGAAGTATGTCTATTACCCACACCCATAAATCAAGTTAACTGTTCAATATCCAAATACCCAAATATTAAACATTCTTACCAAACCTCTGTTAAGCAGTTTTGTTTTAATTAAGCCAATAATGAAGTAGTAATATGCAAAATACAAAATACCAACAGTATTGGTGTTAATTTGGGAAATGTAAACAGGTTATAAATGTATAAATGCAGTTTTAAATTAGCAAGGACTTACACAAGTTTGTGCATGTGAGGTAATATATTAACAAAAATGCCAACTTGACATTTGTAATCAAATTTAACCTCATGAACTTTCATAAATGGCAATTTTGATTTTCAAAACAGTATTTTTCAACAGATTGAAATGAAATGGTGCAAAGTGGACATTTAACAATAATGAATAAAATACCACTTTTAGCATTTTTTAGCACTGCTTAGGCATTCACCTTAACAGGGAGCAATGGGTGGCAGATACACTCTGTAATAGCTATTCCTATTATTCACTGTGCACTGCCATTTATAGAGTGGTCAGGCCAGCAATTTCATTATCCACGTAACAATCAGCCTACATCAATGCCTCTCCTAATGTATTTCCAATGGCACTACTTAATAAAGATAATTCTGTGTGGTAATGCAGGAGTGCACTTAGCGATCATGTGTCAAAATTGGATTTTTAGATGAAACTGACGAGAGCATAGATACAGAGAAAAAGATGATCAAATGAGTCAAGCTGCTGGAAACAGGGAAACAGAACCTTCCGGCAGCTACAGCAGTAGCCTGCAGAGCCTAAATGACAGACATATAGTGAACCTAAGTGCTCCAATCACTGAAGACAACACCAAAAAGGGAGCTGGCGTCGTTATTATGCCCTCTGAGCCACTGGTGCTCAAGTCTCCTTCAAGTAAGCAGTCTGCCAAAGTTGAATGTCACTGTTGGGATACATTTCAGCAGTTTGCCTTTTGGCAGGGGTTGTATGCTGCATACATCTGACTCCGATATTTACATACAATGGCAAGTTCAAATTTCATACATATATATATATATTAATATGTTTCCCCCATTGTTACTTTGATCTGTTTAGCTTTCTGTCCTTTTCTTCTATGACTTTAAAAGAATGATAGATCAATCAGTAAAATAAGGGTGTTATAGTTAATACATAAAATGTAGCTCAATTATGAAATATATAAATGTAGCTTTATTATTATTATTATTATTATTATTATTATTATTATTATTATGTTGGCGCCCAATCCTGGGTTCCGGAATATGCTCCAGACCCCCATGACCTGCCTAGAACAAGCACATATAGAAAATGTATTTATTATTATTATTATTATTATTTTTATTGTTTAATCTTGCAATCTTCTGGCAGCCTCCAGCTGAAGGTCTCCTCATTCTTCCTCTATTTCTTGTGAAATGTCCTCCAGGACTATTTTCCAAATATGTGCATTGTATCTTAATCATTAATGCTAATTAAAACATTCTCCAGTGTTTTCAGAAACACTCAGGGAAGATAGTTGATATTTTTATAGATTATTCTCAAAAAACAGCACAACACAATTGAATTAGTATGGTCTGTGTACAGAACATTTTGTAATGGGGAATATTTTCTTCACTGGTCTCATAGCATGATGAAATGTGACAGCCTATTTTATTGGTTTCCTTTCCATAACTGCAATACTAATTTGATAGATCTGAGATCATACATAACCTACCACAAACAACACATTGCCTGTAACATTCTAATGTTACATTCATATGCAAGAATCAACAGATTAAAAAATATATATATTTGCCGGTGTCCGTTTCCAAGGGAAGTTGAATTTTTCCAGTAGGAAACCATAAGCAGAGACTTGTGTGTTTTGCATGAAAACTTTGGCTGTAGTGTTACTATATAAAAGGTCGCAAACAGCAAGTTTACCCAGAGAAAAGGAAAAAATTACCAGCATTTGGACATCTGTTTG